GGCCTTTAGTACTGGTTCGTGCCATGAACCGGTACTAAAGGTGATCGTGGGGCCCCGGCCTGACGCCAGCCTGCCACCACCCCTTTAGTACCGGTTCGTGCCACGAACTGGTACTAAAGGTTCAACACGAACCGGCATTAATGCAAATCCGTTCGAACCGGCACTAATGGTACCATTAGTACCGGGCCAAAATCAAACCGGCACTAATGTGCTTCACGTTTGACCCTTTTTCTACTAGTGCATGGCGCCTTGGGCTGGGGCGTCGTGCTGGCAACAGGCATGGCGCCCCAGCCCAGGGCGTCATGCTGTCAACTGATGCATGTTCAGTACAAGTACATTAAGTAGAAGAGAACCATCACAAATGCATCAAGTTCATACATAGTTCACCACAAATGCATCAAGTTTCATACGTAGTTCACCACAAATGCATCAAGTTCATACATAGTTCACCACAAATGCATCAAGTTTCATACATAGTTCACCACAAATGCATCAAGTTCCATACATAGTTCACCACAAAGTTTCCTACATAGTTGAAGACAAATGCATTATTTCCTTCCTTTCACCCTCTTAGCCGGTGCAGCATCCTTCCCCTTCACTAAGCGCCTTCTCCTCTACAGCGGCACCTCCACCTCCTCTTCCTCCTCCTCCTCTGAGGCGGCCTCGATCACCGGGTCCTTACGTGCCTTCCTTACTTATTTGCCCGGAGTATACTTTCCACGCCTTTGACTAGGCTAAGGCGCATCGGGCATCTGCAGGTGTTAATCTCATCATGCGTCTGTTCATCCCCCTCCTCCTCCATGTCATCAACTGATTCTTCGCCTTGCTGCTGGGTGCCGCTTGATGATGATCTTGACCTCGAAGTTGTAGGGACAGCGACATCGGTGGAACAGCAGCCTAGTAGAGCACCAAGGCCACGTGCCCAAGACTTGCTCCGCTATGAAATTGACATATCATGAAGTAAGGAGATATACCTCAAAAATGTGTATGAAAAGCAAATTATCAAATGTCATACCTCAACAAAAGCTTTAAGCTTATTGTACGACTCTTCACCTGGAGGGTACTTGAGTACCTCATCGGCGTCGTTGACATGCTTCGAGAGCTCGTTTTGCTGTTGGACACAATAGGACAAATCATTTTGGCACAATGTAGGCAAGCATATAGATATAACGGTAACTTACCACAAAGCGGTTAGTTGGCGCCGATTCATACCGTCTACCATCTCTAATAAGCCTGTTGTACTCCATATTGGCCATCCGATCAAAACCTGGATTGGGTTCATGTAATATGTCCCCTGGCTGAAATGTGGGTGCGTTAAGTTGAGTACGGGCAATGGAACGAAACCACACAAGATAATTGTTGAATGCTTCCGTATCAAAAGGCCGTCGGGGAGGCTTAGAAGTCGGTTGACGCAATGAAAGCTCAATCTTATTGAGCTTGTGCTTGAACTCCTGGATATACATGTCATGCTCTCGATCCCATTTTTTTATACTCTTCTGCTTCATCTTGTCAAGACTGCATAGCATTTGACAGTTGCATTTTTGTTAGTATCTTGAAAACAATGGACAAAGCATTAGTCGCCGCTAAGCACTTACCTATGCAAATGTAGCAAAGTGTCCTTGTACTTCGGCGGGGTCTCTTGAAATAAGCCAAACTGTGTCATAACTCGTTGTGGCTGATAAAACTCAACATCATAATATCAAATCAACGGGCAACGCATCCGCCATAAGTGTGCTTCCTGTAGACACTTTGGGTTAAGTCTGAAAGTAATAAAACCAGCTCCCCTACCAATATTGCCCTCCGTTCCGTATGGTTCCCAGGTAACCTATAAACAAAGATTAAGAAAAAACTACATTGTTAGTATGAATTTTGGAAAACCGAACAAACTAAAGAGACAAAGCAAGAGGCTACTAAGATAACCTGCACCAGGGTCATGATGTCAAGCTCGTTGCAGTAGTGCAAATACGTGGTGTTTGAACTGCCAACAAAACCTTCAACCTTATCCCACTTATACACCCATGTAGGCATACGGTCCGGGTCATGATGATCATCCCACCGGTCGTAACCCTTTGGTGTCGGCCGCCCCAGTGGCAAGTGCTCCCAACTCCAGATCGATAATAGAAGCATCGGACCACCAATGTTGGCTTCCTTTGACTCGACGACGTTTCTTAGATTCACGCCCCTACGACACGCCTTGTCCAGCTACACACAAATAAGAAATATGTCATTACAAACTAGAGAAAATTTCTACATGGTGAACACAATATTATAAGCAAAACTACTTACCTGGCGATACAAATAAGCCAACACCGCCCGCTGTACCCTAGTCGAGTCCATGCTCCCACCCAGCAAACAGCTTAAGCCACATAAAGGAAGCGTTCACGCCAGTGCCGTCAGAGAAAAGAGTCCGGCTGACTACATACCACAAGTATGCCCTGGTATACTGCTGCACCGTTTCATCGTCTGCATCAGCCGGGCATTCCCCAAAGTGTTCAGCAATCCAATGATAACTTGCACCGGCGGACTTCCCTTGTACCCCTGGCTCCCTCCCTATGAGTCCAACCATAATCTCACGCCATCCATCAGAATCTATGCTAAAACAAATAGGCTCTCCTTTGATGGGAAGTCCGGTGATCAGAGTAACATCCTGCAAAGTGACAGTCATCTCCCCAGCATAGAAGTGAAAAGTATGCGTCTTAGGGCGCCATAGGTCAACGAGTGTCGTGATCGCACAAGGGTTCATCTTCGGCATCGAACGAGACACGAGTGAGATGAAAGGGAGAAGCTCGGTCTTCCGGATATACTCCGTGTATCGCTCGTCATACTTCATCTTGTCATGAACCGAACCGGACCTCAGGTGAAGCTGATCAAAAACCCTTCCTTCATCTGCCATGAACCGTCCACGATGCAATTGATCATACGATGGATGGATAAGAGAAGCCATCCTGCAAATTACAAATGTATATGGTAGCCCCGTTGTCATTTGCAAATATCCGCGCTAGTGCAAAAACATACATACATGTGCAAAATTTCTACATTAATTCTTCTTCCATACACCATTTATGTGCATATAATTTTCTACAACATAATACACCATATATTTGCACTAATTCTTCCATACACCATATATATGTGCGTACATATCCTAACCAAATTCATAGCACTTTCATAATAATCCTATATCATACATATTGTAAGCCATACATATCCTAAATCACACTAATCCCTACATTATCACACCAAAACCCACTATACATTTCAACAAAAGGATGAACTAGGGTTTCACCCAAATCAATCAAATGGAGAGATTTCAACCAATAGAAAGAGGGGAAAGGGAGGAGAATACCTTGAGGATTCGAAGGGCAACCGGATCCATCGATCTTCGGCTCAGATCTGCAGCTCTTGAGTGGAGAGAGGGAGGGGCGATTTGAGGGGCGCCATGGAGTGGGGAAAGAACAGAGAGAGGAGAGAAAGAACGAACAGAGAGCAGAGGGGCTCGGGCGGCTATGTAGTGAAGGGGTATGGCGCCCCGGGCCGGGGCGTCGTGGTACAACCCATGGCGCCCTGGGCCCAGGCGTCATGGGCCCAAGGCCAAGCCGACGTGACAGTCAGCATCGACGCGCGTGGCACCGTTGACCGAGGCGTTATGATATCTAGCATGGCGACCCGGGTGCGCGCGTCATGCGTGTAGGGCCATTTTATGAAATATTTTCAAAAGAGGGCCATTTTGTGCTGAACTTTGGCCAAAGGTCAGTTTTGTGATTTTTCGCACCAACTCCAGGTCTATAGAATTAATGTCCCTCGTCTTTTCCGCCCCGCAATAAATGCGCTACAATTATTATCCAATAATGACATTATTACATCCAACCCTTTTGGTCCAATGGTGGGGGTAGG